AGTATTCACCATGGTCACTGTTCTTTATAGATAAGAAACTAGGAAAATTAGTCGTTTCCTACAGACGGCGCCAGATTGTGCATGTTGGATCTTGCACAATATAAACACGAGAACAGATCTCTCCCTTGGTGAACTCGAGTGAGTCAGTCGAGTGGTCAACCCTGATGTTTGAAACAGCCTGTGAGGTCCGGTGGTAACCTGGAATGGTAATGGGAGACCCTCGTGGATCAATGAAACGATCCAGTAAGTCTGAGGAAGGTTCTTGAAACAAAGAAGGACAAGTTAGAAAGGCGCCGAAGTGTTTTCCGGCGTATCCCCTCCGACGATCAAGTCAGTTTTTGAGAGAGAGGAAGAAGAAACCACTGAGTATATTTTGTAGCAAAGGTTTTTCGTTGCATACCGTCTTGCCTTTTACGAGGAGTATTTATACCTCAAAAACTCATGATTGCTGTCAGTGTGGTCAGTAGGTGATCATTAGGTACAAGCAACGTGTGCACGATTTTCTATGAGGAATGTCTTCTCTTTTAACTGCTTGGGATCCCGAGCAACCAAGGCTATGTCATCGGCCTGCCGACTGTTCAATGAGCTCCTCTCGGGGAGGATGCAATAAATGTCCAGCCTTAGAGACATTTATTACCTTTCACTTCCGAGTCTTACCGCATTAAATGCTGTCTCATCAAGGGAATTGTGTAATTAATGCTTGCTTTCCCAAGTCGTGTGTCAGCAAGAGCATCCGGTCTTTCTGTCTCTGATGTAACACAATATGCCACGCGTCCAATCCTTATTGATTGTGTCCCCTGCCTTCCTGTGCTTTCTGACACCAATTGTGTAAGACGAGGTCATGATAGCTAACCTAGCCTAGCCTAGGCTAGTGACCTGTACATCAATAACCTCTACAGAGCAGAGAACGTCATCCTGGACGGAGGTACATTTCGGTACCGAGGGGGGAGGTACATCTCGGAGCCGAGAGGAGAGGAACATATAGCGACCGATGTACCCATATCAGACTGAAGGATACGTGTCGGTACGTAAACGTACTGGATACCACTTGATTCTTATGACAAGTACTTCGGGGGAGAGGGACTTGTGAACTGATAGGTACGTGATCTCAATAACAAGAATTTAATAACACCAAGAACACGTGTCTTCAACTTAAAGTATTTCAAAAATGTCTCATCAGTTGTCCTTCACATTCCCACCAATTTCTTACTACCGCCTTTGTTGGGGAGTAAACGGAGTTCTTATTTTGGTTAATTGTTTCAATTTCTGGAACTTACTTCTCGACCCTCTGGTTTCACTGTCCTTGCGTTTATCATATTTTCTTCGGACCCTTCGAGCCATGCCCTCTAATTCTTTCGATCGATAAGGGTTGATTCTCTCTCTAATCACTTCGGCTTCGAGTAGACAACTAATTTTCTTCATGGAGATCACTAAGCCGTTTGAACAGTAAATTTCAATCTGAGCGGAGGAGGTAATGATGAATGCACCAGGTCTTTGATTTGATGTTTCTTTATTTTTCAATATTTGCTCACACCGGTGCTTGCTTTCCTCTGTCCTTGTCCTTTTATGCCTGTGATTTGGGGAGTTGAGGCGTTGCTGACCCCCTTGCTAATTGATGTATGTGCTTTTTGTCATGTAGAGGCTACTGAAGCTCGGAAGCTAGAATACAAATGTGTTTTACTGCATGTTATTGTAGTGGTTTACTGCACTCCTTTTCACGTCACTCTTTTCAATTATTAGATAGTTTTAAGTCCGTTGATTTTTTTTTTTTAGGGAAAATTAATATGGTAGTGTTGACTTTGGATTCCGTGTATGATCTTCTGGTCTTGTCGTTTTGTTGTTTTGGTTTTGGGACTTGTTTGATAAGAAGCATTTAGGTGCACCCTTTAATTTGCGAAATGATATATTGTTGTTTCTTTTGTTATTCTGGTTCCATCCGTAGATTGTTGTGCTCTGTTCAGGTTGTAATTAGTACTGAGATCCGATAACAGATTTGTTAAACTTAGCTGCTACAATAATATGTTAATCTCGAAAATACTGCGTATGATCCCGAAATTATTGACTTTGGGGTGTGTTGTATAACACCTATCAGATTATCTTGTGCAATCAAATGTCGCTCACTAGGGAAGATTTGTTGAAATGGTGCATTTTGTTTAGCATTAGATACTATGGTGTTACCAAATGCCTTAGCTTTGTCCTTCAACCTCATAATTGGATATCCATTTAGTTAAAGAAACTATCCCATTGTCACAGCTCTGGACCTTTTGATCAGCTTAAGCGTTGGAAACTCAAAGAATGGACATTTTTTAGGTTCAATGCCTCTATCACTTCCACATTGTTACTTGTTTAAATTTCCTAAAATTCATGGTAGTCACACCCAACGCCCATCTTCCTTACCAAATATGCTTCTCACTAACTCGGGAAATGGAGTCTGTGATTTAGGTTTCTAGCATCAATGAGGATCCTCATCCAAATTAAAGGTCTATACATTTACGCTTAATCACACATGTAGCACAGATACTCATATGCATGCACACACTTTTGTATGTGTCCTCATGTATGATGTATTTTGAACTACCATAAAATAACGTATGTACACTCATGACAAGAACCATAGTCCACAATCTGTGGCATCTGTTACTAAGGGTGTTGACGCACCAATTGAAAAAGACAAAAACAAAAAGAAATGAAACATTGAAGGTTATGAGGCAGCAGCTCTAAATGAGATCCTTGTAATTGGATTGTGGCTCTCTGTTGAGTACTGACGAGTCAATGCTGGTGAAGTAAGCACTTAAGCATTCCCTTTCAATCTCTCAGTTCTTCTCCTTCTCCTCTTTCGACGTCCCAAAATATGTATCCTGGCATCACTCTCGTGTTGACCACTTATTGTCCCTACAATAATATAGATGCATTTATCGATGAGGATTTTGGAATCGGATAAATTTTGGAACTTGTCACAGTTCTCTCAATATATATTACATTAATGTCATTTTAAACTGTCTCCAATTCTGAGGCTTGATGGAAGGTGATTGGATAACTTACATACCCTCCCCAGACATACTTTCAGAAAGCTGAGGCAGCCTCTAAGGAGAAGAATAGGGCTTATGTACATGCGATTAATATTGATCATGAAAAAGGTTTCATTCCTTTAGTCCTGTTGATATGCATAGAATTGTGTACTTAGGTGTGTTTTATTTTACTTATAGTATGGTAGGTGAGTTGTGTGATTTCGGGCTTGATTGCATTTAGAATCACTTTGTTTATGATGCCAGTTATGAATTTTGTGAGATCGCCCATTATACCTCGTCTGATTATTGCATATTTTTGGAAATTAGGATTTTAGACTCTTTGTTAGAATGCATTTTGGTGAGATACGGAGATATTATGAAAGGGGAATATCTATAGCGATGCAACATTGTATTTGACCTGAATGTGTCCTACCTTTACTCCCTCTTCAAGCTATAGCAAATAGTAAAAAATTACATGCCAAAGTGAACCTTCTTCCATCTAGAGGAGATATTCCGTTTTCAGAAATCACCCATTGATAGCAGTCATATCTATTCTACTAGGCTATTTTGGATATCAACTTGTTTTTGGTTGATCTTAGTATTGGTGTTCTTTAATAGATTGCCATTTAAAGCTTCTCCCATTGGACTTCTCATGTCATGATATGGATCTGGTTATAAATATACCTTTTAGGTTGTCTTTGAGTTGCTGGCCAATCAAACAGATATGAACTACCATTGACTCTGTGTTATCAATACCTTTATGTGTGATTCATTGAGAAATCTAGGAAGCAAATTAAATAGGCTGAATCATGGTTCTCATGATGGTAGGGCCAACAAAGTAAAGCTTACGGAAGGGATGTTTTTTTCCATTTGGACTCAAAAGGACCAGTGTTATGCTAAAGTTGGGTTTAGGAGTTTAGACCAAGGATAAGTGCCTGTTTCTTGGGTATGACAGCTTGCTCCTTCATGTGGTGTTGCCCACCAAAATGAATTTCTCAGACTGAGATGCTTCTTAAATAACTTTGCCTATTCTGAATCTGAATGAATTTCTCCCAGTCACTGGCTTCTGTTTCTGATCAGGCTATTTTTGCAATGTTTTCTATTTTGTGTTTTTCTTCCTATAATTTTTGGTTTGCTGGATAGCATTCCTAAATACTTTGGACTGGCTTTAATGCATTATATTTACAGGTCAAGGGGCTTTCGACAGAAGAATTTGCTGCCTGCAATGATTTGGTTCTTGCACTACCTGATAGGATTCAAGCCATACCAGATGGGACTGCAGGGGCATCTAAACAAACTGGAGTTTGGACAGCTTCAGTTTCTCGTACAGAAATCAAGTTTGATTCAGGTGATTGGTTCACTTGGTTCATTGATAGAAATTTTCAATTTCTTTGTGATTGTTTATTTCTGGTTGGCTTCACCTAATTTCCAGCTTCACTGGTATCATAGATGGATGGTTTGATTTGGCAGTGAATATTTCCAGCAAACTGAAAAGTCAAATCAATTTAGAAAAGAGTAAGATGCGGAAAATGAAATAGGCATGCATTTTTTAGGAGAAATATGTTGTTTATTTGGCTAGCTTCTGATTGGAGCAAGCATGCATACCTTTGTGGGTCTTTATATTGCGTTTGGCTGTGGTTTCTGAATTCTCTTTATGATTATCTTTGATGCTATGCAAGACCAAGGTTTGGATGTCAGCAGAAGGTTTGGATACAGTGAATATTTCCATTGCTTGACACTTAGGTTAGAGAATTTAACATGTCCTTGTAATTTTTGCGCGTACCAATGGCCCTTTGGTCCAATGGTACTCCTTGCCTTGTGAAGGCTTTGTCTTCTTGAGGTCAAGGGTTCAAGTCCCCCTTTCCCCTCCCTTCCCAAAAAAAAAGTTAAAAAAAAAAGAAAGTAATTTTTGCCGCAGCAAGATTTGTAAAATTATTGACAGCATGTTGCTTCATGTCTTACAGGTGGACAGGGCAACATCTGACCTAACGAATGCCAGTGTTAGACTTAAGGACCTGTTAATCAGGTGATTGAACTGCGACTGATTCAATACAGATTTTCATTTTCTATTTAGCTTTACTCGAGCATGGTTGTATTCTGAGATTAATGGAGTTCTGGTTTTGTTCCAGCTGAGATCGAATCGAAATTTCTGCATCGCTATTATCTTGTTGTGTATAATACTGGGCATCACAGCCTATTTATACAAGTAAGTTCCACATCTCTCTTAATGTCTAGAAGAAGGTTTATTAAATTTTTTAAAACCCTTCCCTACTTGAGGTGTTTTGGAGCATGATTTTATACATATTGAAGAAACATTCTAATCTGGTCTTTTTCTGGGTGGGGGGTGGGTGGGGTTGTGATCTTCTTCATGTTTGAGTTGGCTGTAGTTTTTAATCTCTCACTTTGTGAATCTTTTCAGTCTCTCATAACACAGCCAACTTTCATACTTTTTTCGGTTTTCATTTTGATTCCATATTTATTTGCAGTGTACTGAAGAAGTAAAAAGGTTAAAATGGGCTATTGGATCTGTTCCTGTGACATTGGCGTTGGCTGGTTTATTCCTTGCATTTATTGAGGTCTTGCTGCTTTATGCTACATTGGCTGGGGTTTTTGTGCATATATGCCATGCCCCTTTTGCTGATCATTAACATCAACTTATATCTGCTTTCTTTGCATGTTGTCTATCTTTTCTCCCAACTTATTGGGTCAGAATACTGAATGCTTTATCGCTGGCAGTTGCCAAAGATGCTTTAGAGGGGCACTGCATATATAATGGTGGCAATTGTAAGCTTTATTTGTCATACTGATCTCAATGTTGAGGTATGAATATGGAATTTTGAGTTAATATTCATGAGAAAAATTAAGTGGATAAAATGTTAAAGGCATCCTTGCAAGAAAAATTGGGTCCGTAGTTCATAAAAAAATTGGGCGAAAAACAAAAATGGTCCTTGGGTGTAGGCTCCTCGATGCTTATTTTTCTTCTCCATTTCTTAGTGTATATTCCTTTCCTTGAATTTGATTGATCGTATATACATATTTTTCGAAATGTACAGTGACAAAAGTCGGGATTACACAATCTTAGTCTATCATTACTTATAAATGTCAGCATATGTGAAAAAAATTTAATTTTTATTTTATCTTTATTTAAAAGTGTTAAGTTGATCATATCTCATATATCCTTATTAATGTCATTATATTTCCTTTCATATCCTATCAAAACTCTTATCATATAGCACTAGGTCTCTAGGCTCTATTTATTCTTATAGCTTTAGGTCTTTAATTATAATAATAACTCTAATAACTCAAATTACTGTATAATACATGTATAGATTATTAATTAGGTTTAGTAAAAATTAAAATAAGAATTAATTATCCGACACATAATTTGTTTATTCAATTCAATTTCACATATAACTTATATGTTTTATAAGTTTAACAAAAACTTATTACTTAAATATGTTCACGTGCAACACAATATTACTTACTAGCCTAATTTTTATAAAATTGATTATATTCATATACCTTCATTTAATTTTTTTTTATATGTAATTTGACTTTCCAGTTCTTTTAAACTCTTTTATAATCAGTATTTAACTTCTAAATTTTATTGGACTCATTTATAAGTAATATACTTCCAGAACATTTTTCATATATATGCCTATATCTATATGAAGAAGCAATGACGAATCTGTATCATATTCAAATATACATATAATTACCAAATTGGATTCTAATATCAAATATATATTAAATTTAAATTTTTTTTAATAATTAAGTTTAACAAGAAATGAAACATAGATTAATTTTTTAACACATAAAATATATATTTTCATAGATTCAACAAAAAAATTATTATTTAAATTGTTTACGTGCAAAGTATGTCATGCATTGCTAGTGTTAATAAATGGTGGGTAGTTAGTCCCGGATTAAGTTCCGCCCATATGGACAAATATATCCCAACCTAGGTAGCTGATAGAAGTTAAAATGATAAACCACCCTTTGAGGTGATTATGGAACCCATGATTAGGTGGTTACATGGAGGCTTGGAAGCACGGATACGAGATATAACTACGATATGAATACGACAATACGATAAAATCTAAAAAAATAGAATATGAGTATTACTGAGATACATTTATAATAAATTATATTTTATATTTTACTATTATTGAACAACTTATAAATTATAATATTTAATAATTTTTTAATAATAGTAAACAAAATTAGCAATTTTTAAGTTGAAAAATGTGTAATATCATCTTATTATGATATATCCATAAAGTAAACGTGACTAATTAATAGAATTAGAACCAACATTTAACTAGTTTGTTTGCTTATAGGTATTTGTTTCAAATGATATAGTGTAACTAGTTCATTTTTTTAGGACGAGACAAATAAAATGCTGAAAAAGTAATTAGTACACAAATATAAGGCTTAGTCCTCAAGGGATGGAAGTCCGATCTCTATTATTCGGGTACAATTATTTTGTCCTATATGTTACAGTGGAGAAGAAGTTTCGTTCAAAATCTCTACTGGTTTTTCATTTACGTGAAATCACAGAGTGTATCATTTCCCTTCCAGTATTCACTATCAAAGCTTTGGCAAAAGAAGTTTTACGTGAAATTAAAGAGAGTATCATTTCACTCATAGCATTCACTATCAAAGCTTTGGCAGAAGGAATTTGAGGACCTTTCATCCAGGTAAGCTCCGAAACTCCAAAATTATTAACCAATCTTCTTCGCTCAATCCTTTCGAAAAAAATTTCCAAAAACTAGAATATGTGCATAAATTCATTCAAAAATGAAGAAGTTCGTTGCTCCCAGCACTTCAATTCAGGTTTGACATTGAAATTCCTATGTAAGCGGTAAAATGATTTTGTTATCTTATGGGCATCAGCAAAATGGGCATTAAGTTTACAAACTCATCTGTATCATAGTTACGCACAGATGGTGAGGGTAATAGGTGAGGTGGTCAGTCTATTGTCGGGGTGAGGTGGATCGGCGTTAGGAAAAGTGTGGCGGGAGAAGGTGAGGCGTTACGGACCGCTGGGTGGTGGGTTATGGGTGAGAGGTTCCAGTGGGGCTCGTCGGAATATGAACGATCGGCCATAGGCATAGGACCAGTGAGCCCCCTATATTAGGGCCCTGTCCAATCCTTTTATGAAGTTCAAATATTTGCCATTTGGATGAGTTGAAGTCCAAATTGCTATATGACCCAGTCCCTTTATGAAACCCAAACATTGCCTTTAGAGACTAAAAAACAATGTTATTAGAATTGGATCGAACATTGAACCGGCAGAGGGATCGGGTCAATGGTTCATTAGTTCAACCGGTGGTTCAACTGGTCGGACTAATAAAAAAAATATAATAATTTAGCCAAAAAATATAAAATATGTTCACAATACATACAATTTTTCATACCAATCATAAATCCACAATCACAATAAAAATAAAATCTACAAAGTAGTATTCTAAATTTCTAATTTGGAGATTTTATTCAATTTGGGGGTGTGATTTATAATTACTAACTTTCTAACAAGCATTTATGTATTAAAGTATTGTCCATATATAATCATAGACTGTGTGTGTGCGAGTGTAGACAGACAAAGAGAGTGAAAAAAGAAGACCCAGTAGCATCTCTTTACTCTATTGCTAACTGTGACTCTGAGTGTGTGTGCATGGAAAGAGAGAGGGAGAGAGGAGAAGAAGAAGAACTGAAGAAGACAAAGAAGAGGGGTCTGGTGTTCGAGATCTGGACCATCTGAATTCTAGTGTTCGAGATCTAGATCTGTGATGTCAAGCCGCTATTCGAGAGCTCGATCTGGGGAAGACGAAGAAGAGGAGCTTTGGTGTTCAAGATCTAATTTGTGGTGTTGTGTGCCGCTGTTCAAGAGCTAGAGAAGACGAAGAAGATGAAGGTAGGTTTTGAACCGACCGATTTTTTAATCTTCGGTTCATCGGTTTTTGGTTTAAATCGGCCGATTTTCTGGTTCTCCAATGGTTTGATTTTCCAAACGGTCTTTTTACTAAACTGGACCGTTGAAGGTCCTGATTCACTGGTTCACCAGTCTGATTGTTCGATCCAATCCAATTCTGATAACACTGCTAAAAAAGTGTAGGAGTCCCATATTAGCCATTTGGACGAGTTCAAATCAAAAATTCTATGTGGCCCAATTCTTCTAGGAAGCTCAAAACCCTCAATACAAAGCTAGTACTTAGACTTAAGAGACTGAAAACGTAAAGGAGCCCACGTGAATGTTTGACCTAAATTCCTTTGTTTTGAGTTGAGTTTAAATGTTTGATTCTTCTCTAGCCCAATCTTTTTATTAAGACCCAACCCAGACAACAAAGCCTAAACTTTTTATAAAGCCCAAACCCAGACTACAAAAGTAGTGTTTAGAGACTAAAAGTTGACCATTCTGTTTTGGGTTTAAATGTTTGACCATTCTCCATTTATGTTTCAAATTATACATTCTGTCAACAATATTATTATCTTACTAGTTATTGCCTGTAACTGAAAGTACTATATAACACACAATTTTTTTTTAAATAATTATCCATATTAAAAAAGAATGGTTGAAAAATATTCATACAAATTTTTCTTTTAAAATGACCTGAAATATATTATCGATCATACCCTCAATATTAATGGAATTATCATAAAAATGTACAAAAAACTTTCTAAAATAACACCGCATGCAACTTACCGCCACTGTCACCATGCAACCCTATAACACAACATAATTACAAAGAGCAATGCTATTGAGACCTAATTTACTGATATAATTTGTTAACTTAATTCATTGTAATTTTTAAATTGATTGTAGGTCCCATCAAATATTAAAACTTGGTGTTGATCCAATGATTCTTATGAAGTCACATTATTATATCAACAAATTAGGTCTTAAGTCCAAATAACATTATTCAATTATAAACTCAATTACTAAATTTTCAAGGGCAAAATCTAGTTTACCCCTTTGTGATTTGGGTATTTTGCACATGACCCCCCTATGATTTGAAAATCAACACATTACCCTCTTGTGCTTTTGGATTAAAATGTTATCGTTAGTTTTTCCGTTAGATTAAACCATTTGTGACACATGCGCCTAAAAAGAGATTTGACATAACAAAACTTTTTTTTGCCAAAAATAGACACAATAAAAATACAATAATACCCTTCTTCAATCTTCATCTTCCTGAACAGTTGACTATCATATTTTTTTCTCAAACATTTCACTCCAAGCACCATCTCCTTATCAAAATTTTTAACAACAAAATTTTAAAAATTAAAATTAAGTGGATGATTTTAACTATGCACGACTCAAGTGAAATTCATCTTACCACTCAAACCATAGGAATAACTAATGGTTAGAGGTTCAATAATCATGGTGGGATTGTCTGATGTCGTCGTTGGTCGCGGCGAGGAGAGCCTGGGAAGAGTGGGTTTGAGCAGAGAGGAGAAGGCAAGGGAGGAAGGGAGGGGACGGGATGAAGATATACATGGGAGGGCTGTTTGGCGGTGAGTTGCCAATAGTGGCAGAAGGGTGGTGAGAGAAAGGCGCAATGAGGTATTCAAAATTTTTGGGTATTCAAAATTTCGAGTTTCGGAGGTGGAGGGGGCCCTATTCCACCATTTTTAGGGTCAAGGAATCCATTTTTTAAGTTAGAATCGAGAAAGAATGAGGTTTGGTGGGTGAAAAATTGAATTAAAAATCGTGACAATTTTTTAAAATGATAAACCCCGTCACTTTGGAGCTCGATTTTCACTTACCTTGTGCTTGATTTGGACAAACAAAATATATGGTTGGAAAGAGGGTAGAAAGAAGTTAAATTTAGGCATTTGAATCACCCAAAAAGGTTGAGAAACGAGGGAAAAATTATAATGTTGAAAAAATTCTGGTATATACATAACTTGTCAAAATGAGTTTGTGGTCACCTTTGAGCTTAAATTCGTGGGTTATGAGGGCTATTTAAGGAAACAAGTCCGTGAGATTTAAAACTAGGTTGAGAGTGGAGGATATTGACAATGATTTGAGGAAGTTTGATACTTTGTGGAGAGAAAAAAACTTATAAAGTTGGGTGATTGATTGATTTTTCAGAAAATTAGGCTACAGTTGAGAGGGAGGAAGAAGATGATGAATAGTTGAGAGTACTAAAGTCATTTTACCACTTCTATTTACGGTGTTAACTGTGCATATCGGTCCAAAAGCATAAGGAGGTAATGTTCTGATTTTCAAATCATAGGAGGGTCATGTGCAAAATATCCAAACCACAAAGGGGTAAACTGAATTTTACCCAATTTTCAATCCAACCTATGTAATTAATACATAAAGTAAAAAAAACATACTAACAGAACATAATTAAATTTATAATCTTTAAATAATAAATAAAATCAATCAAATTTTGCTAATTATATAACTTATGAATTTATCACCACCATTCACCATTCAACTACAATGACAACATAATTATAAATTCAATATCCAAATGTTCAATTCCCACATGTAAATATACACAAACACACACTCACGCATTTTTTTTTTGGTTACTGACAAACCCTCCTAATTAATAATTTCTATTTTTTGAAATACAACAATTTAAGTCTTTAAGATAAAATAATAATAAATTATAGTCTAATTAAAAATTAATGTTATAAAATTATCAAAATACCTCATAATTCTTGTCTAATTAAGTTTTAGACGAATGAAAACTCGTTCACACAATCCTGAAAAAGCAATAAAAAATATCATATTTAACACCACACAATCATCGCCCACTCACACTCATACTGTTAACCATGTATGCAAAAGAAGGATGACAAATCTCAACCAATTGTGCTAATTATTTTTCTTTAAAAATATATCAATTTCCTTTGAAACATGACCCCCAAAAATGTTAATCCGTTTACACCATTTATACGCTTAGTAAAATAAAATCAAAACAAAAGTTGAATCATCGTGCAATGAGTCTTTTTTTTTTTACAACAATTTATATCCTTAGAAAAAATTAAACCCAGTGGCATATCACAATAAAAAAGAAATGGTGCTTGATACTAAATTGGATCAAGAATTAAAAGCAAAAGAAATGGTCTCAAACAATGTGAATTAAAAGCAAAACAAATAGTATTTGCAAAGAAACCCAAAACCTGTTTTTTTACTTTTGGTTCATTCCAATGGTTACGGATGACAATTTTTTAAATACATGTTTCAATTACTATGGGGTAACTACAAACATGGAGTTTTTTTTTTTTTGATAAACATGGGGTTAGACTATGGTATCTTTTGAAAGATTAAATTGTCATGGACTTTGAAATACAACATGTATTCAGGAAAGGAAACTACTTAGCAGATTTCTTGGCTAATAAAGGGATATAAGATAGACTATTCAAGAGGTATGATTGTTATAAATCTCTACCATATCACCACAAAATTTTAATCAAGTAAGACTTTCTACTGTTTAGAAATTCTTGAAAAGAAAACTACTTCGCAGATTTCTTGGCTAATAAAGGGATAAAAGATAGACTATTCAAGAGGTATGATTGTTATAAATCTCTACCATATCACCACAAAATTTTAATCAAGCAAGGCTTTCTACTGTTTAGAAATTCTTGAAAAGGATAGTAACTTCATCATAGATGGACATCATTGCTTAAAAAAAAATCAAAATCAAAATAAATCACACAACTCACAACTACCGTAATACATAGTCTAATGGTCATAACCACTACCTAATTCCAAACCAATTCAATCAAAAACCATGGATAATGAAATTTGGGTGCTACAAAAAACTGAAATTACAACAAAATATAAAATGTCCACCAATTCTTGATTGAATAAGATGTAGACTATCTTGAAGAGAATGATGTAGAGGAAACCAAACAAAATGATGAGGAATCCTACACACTAGCTTTCAACATTTTCAACAATTTTCACTCCTTCAAAAAACAACACTTTGAGAACTAAAATGAGACCAATACACATAAATGAAAAACGACTATAGCTCAAGAAAAATAAAACTTAGAAGTCAAGTAGCTCAATTCAAATAGAAGACTGGATCAGTGATCATCGTCGTTATCTGATGCTTTAACTAGTGATGACAACCTTCATGTGTATTGTCCTTTACACAATGGCATCTCGGTATGTTTGACTTGATTTCAACTTCTTTCAAATGCTCTATCCATTCTAGGGTTAGAATTTATGCTTCAAATGGAGAAAGATGGGAGAGACATTAGGCAGAGAGAGGCCAGAGAAGAGAGATAAGTGAGAGGGAGTCGATGAAGACAGATGCGTGAGGAGGAGTGGAAGAGGAGAGAGAGAGATTAGGCACAGAAGTGAACAGACGAATGTGAGACTAAGAGAGATGTGTATTTGAGAGAGAGTGATAGATGAGGATCTAGAGTTCTATTTTGAATGAGACTTTGTCCTAAATTTTTTGGGCCAAAAAAAAATAGAGATTAATTAAGATCGTCGAATTAATAATATTGAATTGATCTGAGCCGCAAAAAACTCAAGGCAAATCAAGTTAACTACTTTATTATAAAAAATTTTATATTCCAAATGGAATATAAAATGGTCAACCTTAGTCCTCTAAACACTATTTTTGTAGTCCGGGTTTGGGCTTTGTAAAAGGTTTAGACTTTGTTGTCTAAGTTGGGTCTTAATAAAAAGATTGGGCTAGAGAAGAATCAAGCATTTAAACTCAAAACAAAGCAACTTAGGTCAACCATTCACGTGAGCTCTTTTAAGTTTAAGTTTACGTTTTCATCCTTTAAGTTTTGGGCTTCCTAGAAGAATTGGGCCACATAGAATTTTGGATTTAAACTCATCCAAATGGCTAATATGGGCCTCCTAGACTTTTTAGTCTCTAAAGGCAATATATGGGTTTCATAAAGGGACTGGGCACATAGCAATTTGGACTTCAACTCATCCAAATGACAAATATTTGGGTTTCATAAAAGATTGGACGGGGCCCTAATATACCTGGGCGCTCACTGGTCCTATGCCTATGGCCGGCCGTTCATATTCCAACGAGCTCCACTGGAACCTCTCACCCATAACCCACCACCCAGCGGTCTGCAACGCCTCACCTTCTCCCGCCATACTTTTCCCCACGCCGGTCCACCTCACTCCGACAATAGACTGACCACTTTCACCGTCTGTACGTAACTATAATACAGATGAGTTTGTAAACTTAATGCCCATAAGATAACAAAATCATTTTATCACTTATACAAGAATTTCAAAGTCAAACCTGGATTGAAGTGTTGGGAGCAACGAACTTCTTTATTTTTGAATGAATTTCTGCACATATACGAGTTTTTTGAAATTTTTTCGAAAGAATTGAACGAAGAAGATTGATTAATAATTTTAGAGTTTCGGAGCTTACTTGGATGAAAGGTCCTCAAACTCTTTTTGTCAAAGCATTGATAGTGAATGTTAGGAGTGAAATGATGCTCTCTGTGATGTTGCGTAAAACTCCTTTTGCATAAGCTTTGATAGTGAACGCTGGGAGTAATATGATGCTCTACGTGATTTCACATTTATAATATAAAATAAAGTGACTTCAACGTCTAATGGTCACAGATCCTCTCAATTTTTTTTCAAATTCATCATTTTTTACCAACAAATTTATTCAAAAATCTGATCTCACAAACAAATTTATTCAAAAATCTGATCTCACAATCGCTTCATCTGTCAGCAGTCGCTTATTTTTCTCGGTACAACGGAAACCTGCTGCCTTGGACATCATTTTTTTTCCCAACCCTTCTGTCAGGCGCATCTTTCAAAGGCCATCTCGCTCTCTCTCCTTATCTTTATCTCTCTCTCTGTCTCTGTTTATTCTTACCAGCAACACGACCGCTGAAGTCAGCAACACCACCACCGCCGCTGCGCCACCACCAGCAACTCCACCGCTGCTAACCCCTCCCAAGTATGCCTCATTTCTCTCTCTCTCTCTCTCTCTCTCTCACACACACACACACCCATCCTACCCCCGCCTCTTCTCTGCCCTCTTCTACACACTCATCACCCACACACAAATCGGGCACACACACGCCCAACACAGACCCACCACACACCCACTCACCCACACACACCCAAAAGGGAAGAATTTGAATGATTTGATGTCGAAGAGAGACTAAGAGGTCTTTCGAACAATCATGCTCGCCACTGCCATTGAAATTCACCCACGATTTACTTTGGTTGTTTCAAAATACATATAGAGAGACGTCAAATCTCACGTCTAATGGTAGTAATTTTTTCCTTGACAATATATTTTTTGGAGGATTAAAGTAAGTTTGATTTTTGAGGATTCAGTGGTAACTTTTTTTATTCAAATTTCTTTTTCTTTTTCTTTGTGCAACATTCTATTGATTACTAGCTGTGGGCGGATCTGGTTATGTTTTTTCTCAGTTTTTCTATCTACGGCATGAGTATGTGTGACATATTGACCCCTATACTGACATCATTTTATTGTAGAGTTAACCTTAATTGTATGAGTTGGGCTTTCATGGAAGTATAGAATTTGTGTTCAAAGAGTAGAGAAGAGTATTATTAAGTGTTGGGAACAACAATAATTAATTTTGTTTGTTTTCGTTTTCAGCCAGGATCTTGTAATGGAACTATTCAGTGTTTTATCAAAAGGGATAAATCTAATTTAACATACCACCTTTTTCTGTGTCTTAGCCCCGGTAAGCATTTTGTTCATCCCTTTGGTAGGTTCAAGTTTCTTGATACTTGTGGTTTATTAGTTTTCCTTGATTGTTGATTATTCCAAGATGGCATTTCTTATTATTAAGCAGTAATCCAAGGATACTAATATGCCTTTTATTTTCATCAGAAGTTTTATATGATTGGACGGAACAATAACAGAACCATTTGGAGAGTATTGAAGATTGACAAGTCTAAGCCTTCATAACTAGACATTATTGAGGATTCAACAACATATTCAGAAAGAGATTGCTATGACCTGATGAAAAGAATACATGAAGGCAACAAGTCTACAGGTGGCCTTAAATTTGTCACCAATTGTTATGGAATCGCTGGTATGTTATATAACTTGAAGTTTTACCTACCGAAATAAATTGTTGTTTTGTTTGGTATAGAACTCATGCCTTTTCTCTGATTTTAGGGTTCATAAAGTTTTTGGGACCGTATTACATGTTTATAACAAGTCTACAGGTGGCCTTAAATTTGTCACCAATTGTTATGGAATCGCTGGTATGTTATATGACTTGAAGTTTTACCTACCGAAATAAATTGTTGTTTTGTTTGGTATAGAACTCATGCCTTTTCTCTGATTTTAGGGTTCATAAAGTTTTTGGGACCGTATTACATGTTGTTTATTACAAAAAGAAGGAATATCGGTGTAATTTGTGGTCATTCAGTATATGGCATTACCAAGAGCAAGATGATTCCAATTCCCAATTCTACTGTGCAATCAAATATGGCTATTTCTAAGAATGAGAACAGATCTTTTGTCAATTCTGCATGTAAATTTAAAATGTCCTTGGTACTTTTGAGACATAAGAGATTAGAACTCAAGAGTTGTTAATATCCACTTGTATCTAGATGAGCATTGCCTTTCAATGTGTTTATTTTTTTTTTTTAAATTGTTTTTGGATGTTTAGTCTGAGTTTGGGCCTCATCTTTGGATAAGAAACAAGTTTTACACTGTGGAGGTAATCTCTGTACTATTTTCTGAATACACCATTCAGTGTTGTGTCAGTGATGTGGGCTTGTTTGCTTCAGGCTGACTACACATGGCCATTTGACAGTTTTAATTCCCTCTTTTTCAAAGGTGAAACAAAGAGTGCAATTACAAAATCTCTATATGTAGGAAATATTAAGTGATACAGTGAATGTATCCTCACTAGATACATGTGTTACTTAGAGGCCATTGCCAGTTCATTTACTGCGAATGTACAGGGGCAAAGTTTATAGTTGTTCTGATGTTAATATAACGTGTTGAATGAGACAAGGTATCATCTGAGTTTCAGGGGGGAAGTTGATTTCTGATTGCTTATTTATATTTATATTTTTTCTGTTTAATTTTTTCAGTCAACATCTGTTTACCTCCTCTTTTTTCCTCTTTTCATCAATTTATTGGACTTGCTCTTTTTTACCTGCTGATGACATAGATACAAGAAGCTCCTATGCACAGTGGACCTTACAAAGGACTTCTTTTTCAGCTACTCCTAACATGTCATGCAAAGTCTTCAGAAGAACTTATGTGATCTTAGGACAGGGCAATCTCTTTATGAAACAATGTTTGTTTGGAATGAGTTCTTAACTCTCAGAATCCGCACTCACCTCCACATAGTATGTGGACAGTTGCATGTGTATATGGCTTCTTTAAACAGGTATTCAATATTTTAATGCTTCTTTCAATTCATAGACAGCAAAAATTCTATACAAAAATGTAATGCAAGGGAATTCTATTAGTTCATAATTTATTCTTTCCCATCTTAGCTTCTGTAATAGGACCCTGATATGATTCATTGTGGTAAACATCTGGTAGGAACCTTTTTTCTTTTTTACTTTTTTTTTCGGATTTTCATACTTCTTAACAGTGATGGAGAATAAATTTTTTCATGTTTAGTTTGAGAAGAATGGTTCTACATGTCGGTGCTTTCCTGATGTGGACAATCTCATGATATCTTTTTTCAGATGTTAAGTGCAAATAACTAACCGAGAAACACATATTTAGTTCGTCAAGCCTGCTGACCTTGAAGATAGTTTTCACAGCTTTGTTGTCTTGCCAAATGACCATATAATCTTTCTGCAGGATTAGAGTCCTCTAATATTTATGTTTGCTTGCTTTGAAATTCTTTTGTCTGGTTGAATAGCTGTGGCTACGTTCTTTGAAGTGCTTGGTCTGGTATTATCTTCCTGAATTATTTAAAAGATTTGATGACTGCATGCAATTGAATTGTTAGGGTCTTGGAGAATAAGAGAGAAGAAGAGAGAAAGAGATTAAGAAAAGTGTTTATTGTATTAGGTTAAACAACTACAACATATATATGTGTTTTCTCTCCCCCCAGAAATTTGCCTTTAATTGGGGCGTGTATCAAGAATCAATAAAAGCCAAATCTACTGCCTATGTGGCCAGGATTCATTAAAAGCCAAAGCTCCTCTAAAATGTGGTAGCACTTAAATATTGGCTTCAAAGCCAAAGCCAACGCTCTTGCTTTGATGAGAGCAGGTTCGAAAAATTTCGTTGATTAAATACTGACGATTTTTTCATTTAGAATAACATAGTGTCTTCAAATATGGATATTTTTTTTAATGTCATAGGTTTGCAAATCCCTATGAATTGACTTTTGAGTAAATTTTTCTAGGCGTTGCTACTAATTTTAATTATGTATATAGTTCCAAGCGTATTAATTTTATTGATTTTCAGTTTAAATTTATGTAAATGAGTTTTCTCTATCTCTTTATCTAGGTAATGTTTTGTTGAGCATGTATGCAAAGTATGAGTGTATTAAGAATGCAGTTTAAAGATTTGGTAATTTGATTGAGGCTAAAGTGTGTCCATATTCAGTGTTTCATTATTTTGTGTCCATGACCAATGTTCGAAATTCGTTTTCACGATAATTTTGGCAATTTTTTATTTCTTGATTCATAGTTGTTCTGATGGAATATGAAATTCTCATTCGAATTTCGGGTTTTAGAAGTAGCATTGGAAGGCATATGCAGTTTTCTAGATACACGTAAGAGATTTTTTTTGCATATTGGTCTTGGTCAATCTAATTTTCATTTAGTTTTATAACATGATTTCTTTTGCCCCATTTCCATTCTTGCATCAAGTAAAGCCAAGTTTTCTGTTGTTCCTATTGCTATGCAAATAAGATCTTAAATTCAATTTGTTTGATATTTATGTGTATGAGACTTTTCCACAGTTAAATTAACTTTTATGTTTCTTTTACAATTTATGTTGTATTTCATGGGTTTTTGAATGAATATTTTGTTCTAAATTTGAATGTTTGAAATGGGTTGTGGTTGTCGGGATTTAACACGATTTAAATCCACTAACAAACACACACAATCGAAGAACAAATCAAGAATATAAAGCAATAAGAAACAAGAAAAACAAGACACAG